CTTATCTGAAAATATGATTTCACTATGCAATTTCAAGTACTCTCACCTTCAGTAATTGCCTCTTTGCAACCATTGTTGTACATCTCCATTGTTTTCTTGAGCTCAAGGTGAGGCCTCCCTTTAGATCTATTTTATCTGGAAGCAAGTCATGAAAAGAGACACCTAAGGTCTCTACATCAAAAAAAGAGGGAATAATAAACAACAATGCCATTCTTAACTCAACGCTGGAAAATAATTACATAATTTTTAATTTACATACATACCACCCGGTTCTTATATATGCCTTCATGCATCATGCTTTGCATCAATATAATAAAGCTTCCGCAACTTTACAAAAGAAGAAAAGAACTAGAAATGCAAGTAATATTCTTATGTACCTAGAAGCCGAGCTAGTTATTTTTACCATTAATCTGACCTCAAACTTCTCTTGCGCAGCTCTCAAGTATAGGAGACTTACTTGATATGGGTGATTCAATTGCCAAAGATGCTTCACATGCTACACTGTTAATCCTGTAAGGTTAAAAGTCACTTTGAGATGTAAGAGTTATTTCAACGACACTACTCAAACTACAGAGCAAGTAGGTTATTTTATCGGGTTATCTTATCATGGCATTCCTAACTCAAAAGTATAAATCCAATAATTCAAGCATGCATAAATGTTAATAAACAATCATAGTAGAATATTTAGATGCAATTTCCAATAAATGTAAATGCAGATATAACAATCATGGATCAAAGATAATAACTAATGGCCAGAATAATTTTGATACATGTTTAGTGGTAATAAAAAATTTATAAAAGTTATCACAAAATAGTTTTATAAAAAGTTAAGGAATTTATGAGCTCTCTTCATCAATATGCTCCTCATCAATGAATTCCCAATCAGTTTAATCTAATCTCTCTCGGCGTATTGGAAGTTTTGTCCTTAATGACCAATCAGCTTTGTAAATTCTGAGACATATGAGGTAGCATCAACTACAGGAAGATTTTGACTTACATGAGTAATTGGCTTTTTGCAAGTGGTTTTATGGTGCCCATATGAACCACAACAACCACATTTGTAAGCCATTTTAGTCTTTATGTTTTCAGTTTCCATAAAATTTTTATTCTTTGCTTCCTCGGCCTTCCCTCGATCTTGATGTATTTGGTGCGTAAATGTTAAGATTGTCGTTGCGATTCACTCACTCTTCCTTGGAAGGGTGGCAATTGCACCGTCATATGTCATCTGGTACCTGTAGGTATATTGATAAATTCCAAAATCATTTAACATATAGCGTAAAAATTAAACTTGAAAAGTTAAAGAGAAAAACCTAATCGTATGAAAATGCTCATCAACAAAGCTATGCTACAATCACATCTTTGCTGCCGATGAAGTAGGCAACATGAGTAAATGGTAGACAACTCTGTTGCCAAAATACACAACTGCAATTTTTATGTTGGATGTGAACTTCGTATATTTCTTCATGTCCCTCAACTTCAGTCGTGTACGATGTTGAAGGCCTTATAACTAACCTTATTTTTCTTGATGTTAACCACCCTCTTATATACTCGTTAGTGGTAGGTACTAATTCACCTGTCCACTCACTTGGTTCAAGCTTCCTTTTAGCTATTTTCTCCATTATCATGCCTCTCATCATATCTACCAAATATGCAATAGGTTTGTCCTTAACTTCTCCAATCCATGAGTTGAATAATTCAGAAATATTGTTAGTATTAGTTCACTTTTAATATCAGACAAGAATTGACATTACACCCATTTATATGGGAGATTAACCGACATGCTTGAAGCTGTTGGCTAATTTCGTAAACCTCATTGAGTTTCACTTCTAATTTTGCTCTAGTATAAGCATTTGATGCTAGCCAACCATTATGTCGGTTTGATTTGCTACCTTGGAAATGATGGTATTTCTTAATATTTTTTCATAAATGTCACATGCAAACTCTATATTCAGCTGTTGGAAATACATGCCTTAACGCGTCAATCAAACTCTTCTCTATGTCTGAGATAAAAATTGATGGTGCAACTTCAAACTCAAAAGATATGGCTAAATTTCCCAGAAATCATTCACAAGACTTCTTTGACTCAAACTCGACTACAGCATAGGCGATAGTAAATAGGTCATTATTCTCATTCAATGCATTTGAAAATATTTAGATTTTAAGTGACATGTATCAAGGACCACAAGATGTATACAACTAGCTAGGAACTCAGAAATGCACACCTTGAAACTAACATACAATCTCTCAAATATCTAATCAACACTACTGTATTCAAAGGTAATATGAGAACCTAGATTCCTTCTAACAAGCACCGCACATAATGCAGAGATGAACTTGTAACTATCAACAACCGATCCAAATATTTGATCATGTTCTAATTATCTGGATCTCCATAACTTCAAATAGGCAGCGCAAGGCCACACTTACTTTCTAAATCAGAGTTTATTTATTTTGGAGGCATGTTTGGATAGGTTTTTACCATATCTTGTATTTCATTAGCCACTCAGTTATTTGATGCCTGTTTGTTACCAGCTATGATGACACCTGGACAAGTATGTGAAGCTCCAATTTTCTTTACTTTAATAGTTGGTCCGATAGCCAATGTTGTGGCTCTC